GGCGAATGTACTGTGTCCGATTTGAGCTCAAGTTGGATGAGTTACGCGTAGTAAATCGTAGGTATTATAAGGCTAGTAATTGACAAATTTCCCTTGTTTATTGAAGTCACACTCCTTCCCTATTATCTACTTCTGATATATTCTATATTTCATATATTTTTGTCCTATCAAGTGGCTAGGATGTATGCTATGGTAATATGAGGCCATCACGGGTGGTCCACGAGTAAGTAAGGACTGCATATCGTATATATCGTGAGTACGTGTGTGCATGTACGATAGATTTGGTCTCTTGTGGGTGGGTTTGCTTGGGTTTGTTTGGCAATACGTATCATGGGGCCATCCTTAAAAAATTATATGTTTGCTGTCCTCCGACCGACCCACGAAAATAGCCGCGACCCAAAAGTTTGTTTTGACATTTTGGGTTCAATTTTTTTAATATTTTTTTTTTACATTCCTCATAGTTAAGACTGAAACACAAAGCATGTGTGGCAAACATGAAGACAGACTTAAAATAACTATTATGCCTCACAAAAAAAGACCTACCTACCTACCCACTAAAAAAATCATGGGTCGGGGGACAGCAAACATAGAATTTTTTAAGGATGGCCTGGTATGCGACTATCGTGGCACGTGAGGGGAGCGTGTGTGGTCGGGGGGCAGTGTCGTGGCGATGGCAGACGCTTACAGATAATAATTATTACAGATAATAATTACAGACACCTCTCTCTCTCTCGCTCACAGTTGAAGACGGTGCTGTATAACAAGACCGGCATTGAGACGTGGATATGCGAGAAGGCAGAACACTTCGAGGATGAGAAGCCCTTCGTTTTCCCGTACGACCTCGGTTGGCGTGGCAACGCGAAGCTGGTGCTCCGCTGGAACGGCCGGCCCGTGGGTGACGGCATCTGGTGGCCCGTGCGCGACGGGTGTAACCAGTACACGCTGACGGTAAGAATATCGTGTTTCACACGCTGCTGTAACGACCAATGTTATACTTAAATTATATAATAATAATCATATATTAATATATCTTAACCTGCGGTCCATGGACCCCTTTGGGGTCTGTGATGGGTTTCATTTCCCGGAACCAGGCATCATTTTGTGTTTTAATGTGCTTGTGTGCATTTTTCTGAGGGGCCTGTAGCTCTCACCAGATTCTCAAAGGGGTCCATGACTCAAAAAAGGTTAAGAACCACTGCTCTACAGAGCAGAGACAACTGTCTGTATAGGACACGTCCAGGGGGTTATATATCATTAACCCTTATACACAGGGTTGACTGCACATTCGTTATTCGGTACGGCAGCTGCAGCAGAGATGCCAACACATATTTGAAGCAATCTGTAGTTTCTGGCCATCAAATTAGTAGTTCGAGGGTCACGTAGTGACCCGAGTTTGCTAGGGGGGTCCGGCATGCCCCCCGGAAAAAATTTTGATTCTGAGATGCAATTTCCTGCATTCTGAGAGTAAAAAATGACAATAAATTGACAAAAAATGTCAATAATTGAAGAAGAAAATAATTTCGATCACAGTGAAATTCGTAGTTTGATACAAACTGGTCGTAGTGGTGCAAAAGGAATAGAAATTCGTATTAAAATACGGATAAATCGTAGTGGTTGGCATCTCTGCTGTAACTACCGGCGACGACTTCTGCCTCTCTCTGTCTCAGGCGGAGCAGAAGTACCAGAAGGAGGAGAAGAGAACTCGCGCGGTGAAGTACACGATCGTCGAGAGCTACGGTGGCGCCCTCTTGCCGGTCAGCAAGGGTTGTCGCGTGCTGTGCGGAATCCCGTACTCGGACGAGCCGCGCATACGGTTGGAGACGGGCGACGAGGTCCGCGTGACGCGCTGGAAGAGGTACGTGTGTGTCAGGCTCCCTCTATACCTCCTCCTCCTCTTTCCCTCTCTACCTCCTCCTCCTCTCCTCTCCTCTCTATCTCCTCCTCCTCTTCCTCTCCTACCTCCCTCTCCTCCTCTCTACCACCTCCTCTCCTCTCTATCTCCTCCTCCTCCTTTCCTCTCCTCTCTACCTCCCCAAGAGAACGCTGCGATGAGTGGCGCCATCTACGGGACGGCGTCGCGCGAGAGGACACGACTGCGGGGCAGAGCGCGATGCAAGAGGACGGGCAGGAGGACTCTCTCGCACACGCGCGCAGGCACTGGATGTACGGCGAGCAGGTGACGCAGCCACCGATGTCCGTCCCGCCCCGCGGCTGGTTCCCACGGCGATGCGCGGTGGAGCTCATCAACGGCGACTGCGATTTCCCCCCGCCTCCCAAAGTCGTCAAGAAGAAGCAGAACTGAAGCGGACGTTACCGCGGCGACCGCGTTCGGCTAACCGATGAGGGAGGCCGAGTTCTCTCACAGCTACGTGGCGCCATCTAGCAGCTATACGAGCAACCTACTTCACGGCGACTAGGTAATGGCGAGTGAAGGATAGACGGGCGCACACCTAGAGCCACTTCCAAAATCTGCTCGTTCCTGCTGAATGTTGGCAGTCTATGGACGGCAGCTGTACAGGTTTTTTTCTTGACATTCTTGTGAAACGATCGCTTGGAGTTTGCTGACCACAGCCTGCAATCGGTTCGTTAACCGCCGTTTTTAATTAGGTTGTATCGAGAGTATATTTCGTGTTGTTTTGTATATTTTGACGTCGTTTTATTCCAGAACTGTTAAATAATACTTGTTCTTAATTGTGCTGATAATCGTACTGTGAGATTGGAATTACGGGAAATATTTTTCGATTGATTGATGATGGCGACATGATAAAGATTATGTGTATTTGAATGAGAGGCAGCAAGTATGTGCATTATATCAGTGTACTAATAAATTATCACTTCGTGAGAATAAAGTTTGATTTTAATGAGATCACAAGTCTTGCCGATTTAATTCTTTCTTTTTTTAATTTTGTTTCTTTTCTTGTGAACTATCGCTATGTTCCTGGTGGAGAGTTGGAGGAGCGTGGGAGGCACTCACAAAATAACTCGCTTAGAAAAGGAACATTCAAGCACCAGGGAGTAAAATTTATTTTTCGGGGGCTACTTTTCAAGCTCGCGTGCATGAAAATAGCACTCTAAAATTTGGTTTGCATTGAACTCTATGC